AATGCATGGTGGATGACAAAACAGCAGTTGTAATACTGCATTGCCCACCTAGCATGTTTGCAGAGGCTGACATTAATCAAGCATTCAGCCTCAACTCCACCAAGTCCATAAGGAAACAAGCATGGGAAGGCTGCAGCAAGCAGATTGGGAGTACCATTCTCTATTGCATTCTTGCCAAAGTCTCCTATAGGCCTGACACTGTGGCACACCACATATCCTCCTTCCTGTGTTGTGTCCATCAAGTTGGTGAGCATGTACATCATGAGCTCCAAAGAAGAGACCCATGCAAGGTTGGTATCCATGACACTGAGAGCATGCAGAGGTATGATATCTGCTTCTATACATCGTTGGTTCAGTCACTGCTAAGAGTTGTATACAGTCCATGCAACTTCTCACCATCATCTTTGGTTTCATCATCATCACCAGTGGAACCATAATCACTGTTCATTGCAGCATCAATATCATCCTTGTTTACTTCATTGGTGATCTCTGTCAACATCATGAATTATAAGTCACCATTGTCCATGATATGAAAATCATACCCATTTCATTGTCCATGCTATCCTGTACATAACCTTTGTGCTCTTGTGCCATGACTGCAGCATCATCCTCACACCAGATAATGGCTTCTATTTTGACTGGGATTTCATTGTCAGGTAGTGTCATCAGTCACTGTGTAGATATCATGATATCATGATAAAGAGGATTGTTTGCTTTCAGCTGGAGTAATGCTTCATGAACTGCTTCCCAGCACACCCAAAAGGTGCACAACATCCAATTCTTTGGCAATGTCCTCATTCCTATGAATGTGATTGTGATAATGTTGCTGAGCATTGTGACCTCTTGCAGCATCATACTGCCTTCCACCATGCTTGCAATCACTGACATATTGACCTCATACAATGTGATGTTGCCAGCCATGCCACATTGAAGGTGAGCAGGATTATGTCCATGTGAACTGTCTTTGGGGTATAACTTGAAAACATAGCAGCAAGGATAATGCCATGCCACCAAAAGCATTTTTGCAAAGGTCAATTTTCACAGTCCCAGCAGTGCATCTCCCAACCACATGTTATTGTTTAGTGCTAGCTTCAGCATTCTGTTGCCACTCAAGGCTTGAAAGCAGTCCCCACATGCCCATCCCATCCTGGTCTCATCCATGTGTGCCTTCAACAGCAATAGGCCTTGCCATAAATTGTGCATGTGATGCTCAACTTTGGACATGAGATGGCATTCAGCATTGGGTATGTTTTTAATGACCTCTTCTTTCCCTGTCATCATTATTAAAGGTTATAATATTCATGACTGCAAAATCTAACCTTCACTGCTCATCAGCTCACACATGCATACAACACATACACACTGACATAATGCTGCATTGCCAGTTGCCTTAATGAATGATGTGACATGGGTGCATACTTCTTCATGCGAAGGCAATTTCAGGTACTTGGCCTCCCACATGCCAACTCTGAATATGTCTTGTGTTGAAGACTGACCAGCCTTTGGTATCAACTGTCTGAGCCACATTAATGTTCACCATTTCACTTGGTATGCCTGATCTGCTTCACACTTTTGCTGCTTCTCACTTTGCTCCTTTTCAGCAGCAACCACCTGTATATGTTGCTGAACATCAACTGGCAGTTGGCTTATAGCAGGTCTGAGCTGTGCCCATGTCCAGAGTCCTTGTGGCAGTGACCCAGGTGGGACACTATTGTAAACTTCTTGCCATGTAAGTTGTCCCCAAAGATCTTGCATCAATGGTGCATTTTGTCCTCTGCTGGTGCATCTTTTCTTTAACTGCCACAGGTCATCATATTGACTCCACATGGCACCCCTATCCCCCTTTTTTCATGTCCCTTTAAAATACCTCTGTCCTCTAGGGGACTGCCCTTTTGTCCCTTGTGCTTAAACAACCATGGCCCCCCATTCCTTGAACAATAAACAGAGAATGCTGTCAGCCACTACAGGTTGGTGGTAGTCCCTACATGCCCACTTGTGCTTTTTGACTGGCTACTGGTTGTCATACCACAGAACATGAATCTGTTGAGAATTTATCATCACTGACAGAGCATTTGCATGCCACTGATGCCATGCCACCTATGGCCTTGACCACTATATCCAGTGGCACACATGCTTCCTCTGAGGATCTGCAAAGATGGTAGGACAACTCAGATGAGGTAGACAACATCATACACATGCTGAAAACAAGTGCTGTTGGTTTCTATGGCATGACTCTGCTGCTTGCCCCTTGCACTGAGTTCTTCCAAGGCAGCTTTTCTGGGGACATCACAGTGGTGAAAGACAGTGGTGACGACATGATGGAACTGTTCATCAGTGGGATTTTTCAGATTGATCACCAAAACTTTTTCACAGGTCCAGAGGGAGGGTACATGCTATTGAGTTCTTTCAAGTGAGAGTTCTCAGAAACAAAACTGAGCTGCCAACTCATTCCTGTTCAGAGAGATGCTGCCTTTGACACAGCTAGGGCCAACTTCACTGCTATAGTGAGCAACATCAGGGCTCTTGAAAAACTTATTCCAGCCAAGAAGGGGACAACCTTGGTTTCATGCATACAAGAGGCTGACAGTGTGGCATCCATCTGTCTTAGCCACCCTCTGTTCACAGTACATCCCAAAAACCCCTTGACTTCATGTGTATGGTGGCTTACACTCACACTCCTCAGAGGAAAGATGAGAATGCAGACCCAGACATTGCTTACTGTAATGGTATCAACTTCCTCTACTTATCCTGGTCCACATTGAGACAATTTATGCTTCACAGAGACCTGAACTTTGGATTGGCCTGTTCAAGAATGTACCAAGGGAGCCTTAGAATGTGCTGTGCTGACACACATCATTTGTCCCTTGCCCACATTTGATCAGAATCATGAAAGCATTGCACCCTCCAATTATCATTGGAAACTATGGAGCTCTTGTCATCATGCATTTTGCCTTAGTGCACTACTATTTCAGACAGGACAAGAAATCTGTTTTCAGTGGAATAGTGTGTGAAATGGTGGTCTTACACAATCCACTGCCTCCACCTACCAACCCTCTGAAAAGGTCTCTTGACAGTGAAGGACTGTCATTCACCCACATGCTGTCCTTCAAGAAAAATTGCCTGGTATGCTTCACAGGCAAATAGCTGCTATGGTTATTGGCTGATATCTGTTTCAGGCCTAACAGTTGCCAGGTTGCTGAAAGCAGTGTGCCTGACACATTACTGGAAATTTGGATGTGTTAAAAATTGTCTCTGTGTTGTCATAGCTGGAAAGGCAGACCATTATGTGAATGCAGCCATCTGATTATGTACATTGGAAATACACATATTGGCACACAACATCTCGCTGTGCTGTGTATGTTGTTTGTATTGCAACATAAGTTCATTTTATGTTGCCTTAATGTCTCCTAGTGGGCTTCGACACTGATATTGATGCCCCACTGTTAGATGAGAAACTTTGGTTAGAATTGCACAGCACACAAATGTTTTCCCTTCAACTTCTCATGAGGTAAGACCACCTGTGGTTTTATGCAGCCAATTGCTGATTGTTAGGAGGGCCCCCTTGTTATTTATTGAGTCACTATTGTGTCTCAGTCATAAAGGGGTAGCCCCTCACCTTGCATATTTAAGTGTCTATGTTGCATGACATGCAGCCTCACTCCCAACTTTCAAACTACATGTAAGTACCACCTATATCTTCAACTATTTCTCATATGGTTTTTCCTCTCTACAGACAATGGATAACAGACAGCAATCTGTGGCTGCTGAAGAGGACAACACCCTTTATACTGTATGGGGTTTCCTGTTTGGCAGAACCTCAGGTCCTCAGAGACTGAGCATCCACATTGACAATACTGGCACTATGACAATCAGTGGAAATCAGTTCCATTTTCCTGAAGACTGCTCAATCACCTCCACACATGTTCATGTTCAACACAGGCTATACATCACATTCTTTGATCAACAGTGTCACCAAAATGATCAAGAAAATGCAACATATGTTTTTGTCAGGATCCTCCCTGGCCATCAACATCCTATGCACATTCATGCAGAGGATGACCTCCAGGACATCATGAATGTCCTTCTTGTGTGCATGTTTTGTATGTGTCAATGATGGCTGCATACTAATGGCATATCAGCTTGGTGAGACGTTTCCTGATTTCTGTGTCTGCATCCTCTGCCACTCCTGAATCTTAGCTGTGTTGGGCAATTTACTCTGCATTCTCTTGACACATAATAAATGTTCTATGTAGATAGTGCCTGTGTTATTGCAATATTATGTATGCTTGTGAGGCTGTGCTGCAGTTTGCCACATCTCGCCCTTGCAGCATGACATGCTAAGCCTTACTCACTACCTGAGTTGCATGTCGCTCATTTACCCTCAAGCAACCAACTACACTAAGTCATACGATTTTTGCCTCAGGCTCCCCATACTTTGTGGATGTTACATTGGTCACCATCCTTCTCACCCCTTACTCCCCTCAACCCCTTAAACCATACTGTACTATAAATCTTGTGTCTGTGCTTCTGCTGACATTGCTCTCATCTTCCAAGTATGTTTCGATTGCCAACAGAACTTCAACATCACATCCTTGGCTATTGCAACATTCATGACATTGCTGACTTTGCCAAATCTTCTCCTAGGGCTGCAGTACTTGCACACAAATATCTCCACTACTGCCTCACTATGAGGATGGCTCCCTTCTTTTCCAGCTCCAATGTGTTGCTAGAAATGTTGCATTCTTGCAAAGCTGTCATCTCTGGTTCCTTTGTGCTCCACATGGTATTGCCTGCAAACACCTGCACATGGATGCTGACTGATCTGGATCTCTATGTCCCTTTGCATCATATGTGTTACTTGTGTATGAAACTTGAATGTGAAGGTATTGATCTCTCATGGTTATCTCGCAAAATTGTCCATTGACTGGCCACCTGCAGGTTACTACATCATTCACCAGTCACACATCGATGCCAGCACTTACAGCGCTGCAGCTGTCTGCAACATCCTCATGTTCTCCAATGGTTCTCACTACACTGATGTTGTTGTGTCCAAGACAATGACCACCATCTCACCATTGTTTCAGTTCCACAGCACAGCTGTGATGAATTTTACTACCACAGACAGCATTTTTTGTGCATACCCTGGCTTGGCCCTACACAAGTGTGCACTGATTAATGCATATCCCATTTATTGTGGGTCTCTTGGATTCAAGATGATGGCTGCCCTCCAAAAATATAACTCATGTGGTTTCAACTTCACCCCATGCGAAGATATCCATCAGTTACCTCACATTTGCCAGTCAATGCCTCAGTCCCTGACTGATGGCAGCTGTTTCTGGGTTCAAGTTACTGACCTGACTCATGACCTTGTAAGCACTGCTGACACCTTCAATTGCTTGGGTGTTATCAACATTGTATGGTTGCTGGGCAGGTACATGTGTGGTGCTTATCCTGCATTCACAGACAGCTACACATTGGTGTTTGACAATGACATGTAAGTTTGTTATCATCTCCTGTGTACAATGAAGCTCATTTTCCAATGCAAGCTTCTTTCAGATTGCTGGTTCATTGGAAGTGAAGAAATTTAAGATTGATGTGGTTGTATTTTGGGGAATAGTGAGCACAAGCACAAGGGGGTGCTGATGCTGGCTCAGATGGTTGGGTCAATGTGGTTTTATGGTGTTTACCTATCCAGATATGGCATGTAAATAATAGTCTTAGTAAGGTTGTTCTGTGTTCAGCTTTTATGTTACATTCATAAACAAGGTGCCTGCCATCCCCGACAGCCCTATCTTCTAGTGTAGGTCAGTGGAACAGAATGCTCAGGATGGTGTGCTCTCCAGTTGCTTTGGTGCCTTTACTTTAATTGTAAGTTTTGTGTTGCTGATGACTCTGCCTGTGCCTGTGATGGATTCATCTGGGCTGATGTCTGGTTTGGTAGTGATGCTGAAAGATGGATTTGGGATGTGATTGGACAGTGAAGGCATGATGTTGTCATGGGGGATCTCATCATGTTCCAGAAGGACTCTGCCCTCAAACTTGGCAACATTGGGTGTGCTGAGGGGCTGAAAGTCAACACTGATGAAGGAAAATTCATGATTTGCCCAGAGGAGGTGGTAGGGTGTTGTTGACAGTTTTTCTCTTGCTAACCATTCTTGTACAGATCTCCATAGATGCCACCAGCAGAGCTGGATTTTAGCTGATGGCCATACTGACTTGGACATACTAATTTCTGCCATATCCTTGTTGACATGGATAAACCATGGGTGAACATGATAATGGTCACAAAGGCAAGTAGCCCACTGTTGTAAGGCTTTTGTATGCTTCCCAATCTCAATTGAGGTTGCAGTTGAAAGAAGACAGTATTACAGTGGGAAGCCAGCATTATCATATTCTGCAAGCACACTATATAGCTCTAGGTGCTTTGCATTTGTATTATCTGGTGGGTCATGTTAATTGAGAGGCATCAAGTATGATGTTGCTTACATGTTGCATCCAGGGCAATTTCAACAGCCTTTCCTTCCAACATGCCAGATATTTTCTTCATTCCCCAGCATATTTGCTCCACCCCATCTGGGATCTTCATGTCAAAAATGTCTACTTCATTGCTGCACTCATCCAATAGTGTTCTTGCTGATGTAAGCTGATTGGTATCCTTTTTCCAGAGAATTTCACTCATCTTCATCCAAGCAGAGTGTACTTGTGCTGGTGTAACATGTGGGTATAGTGCCTGGATCTTCAGAACAAGTGAGCTAGGTGTACTCCACTCCAATTAATCTCAGATGATCTGGGTAACCTCCAGGGGCATGGTGACATCATAGTAGGCTGTATGTGCATTGGTGTGCTTGATCCTGATTGATAGTGTATGCTGGTTGATTGTGTTCCCTGTTTGCTGACAACAGGATATGGTAAGGGCACCGTTGCAAGGAAACCATTTCATCCCCATGGTGTCATGGTGTTTCGCACCTTCTCTTTGACTTGGCTGTGGTTTCTGTTTCTTGTCCTCATCCTGACAACACCACAACAGTGTCTTGTGGCCCATTTTGAGTGGCCAATGACAGTGCACTCTATGAATACTTTGTAAGCTTTGTTCTAGTATACTAGGCTTGTGCAGTGCTGAACTCATCTGAAGCAGTATCCAGTAACCTTCCATATCTCAAGTGCAGCATGTTGTACTCTTTCCTTTTCACTGACTAATGGGTCCACAGACACTAGACAACTGCCTTGAAACTCCACACTTGTTGAGCTGCAAAACTTTGCCTGCAATGCTGTAAATAAATTCTGAGGATTGTCATACTGTGGTGTTGTGTGAGTATCTTGAGGGTGAGGTCTGAGGAACTGAGTTGAAACTCACATGTGTGTGTTGGCTCCCAGGGGTTGGGGACAAGGCAGCATGGTTATCTTCTTCTCTTTTTCTTTTTCTCTGGGCTGCAGTGGTGATTTTATCTGCTTCCCAACATTTTTCACAGGTCTTTCTGGGGTCATCATTAGGGAGTATTCTCTTGCACTTGGACTTTGAACATATCCTTTGGGTTGGTATTGAGGTGGGGTCCATGTGACATGGATGTAAGGTACATGTGGGAGTACTTAGTGTTATACTGTGCCACAAGTCTGTAACTACCAAAAGTGGTAAGCCACCAGCAAGTCATGTGAATCACATGATAGGTCAGTGGTTGGTTGAGCTGGGTTTGCTAAGGCTTCAAACTCCTTGTAGGCTGTGAAAACCTCACTCTTCTGGCAAAGGAGGTGGATGTAGGTGAGTCACATCTTGTCATCTGTGAAGGTGATATAATAACACCATCTACCAAGAGTTTCCACAGGTGTGGGTCCCCAGAGGTCAGTGTGCACTTCTGCAAATTCATGGGCTTGTTCTCCAGCATGCTCTTTTGTGATAGGCTTCCTAGTTGCCTTTGCATATACACAAGCTTTACAGAAGGTTGGTTCATCTTTTGATAAGTCTAACTTTAGGTCTGATATGAGTCCATTTTCTGCTAGGCAACAAGTGACAGACAGGGAGATGTGCCCCATCCTCCATTGAAGTGCCATCACAGTTATCATTTCAGCTGCAACATTTATGCTGTCATGGTTGTCATTGTGGACAACTTGATAGAGTCCAGCCTTGGACTTAGGGATGCAACCAACAATGTCATTGGTAGGGTTTTTGATAATGCAGGTGCCTTCAGCAAAGGTAAGGGAGTAGCCTAGCTGGTCAAGGTGGTCAATGCATACTAGAGTGTATCCAACCTTGGGAGAGTACAGCACCTTGGTAAGTCATAGCCTGGTTATGTTGTACCCATTGGGCACTTCTATGACCAGCTCCCCCATAGCTGTAGCATGAAAAAGTTGTCTATTAGCAGCTGAAAATGACTTGGTTGGTATGCTCATTAATGTTTTGAACTTCTCCTTGTAAGGGGAGATGTGGATCTGGAGTCATAAAGTTCAATGACAGGCACTGTGAGTCAAAGTGTGGTTCAGTGGTGAAAACCAACCAAAACAAACACAAAAGACAATAAAAGCAAGTGGTGGTGTGCCTACACAGTACCTAGATGGAACCTTGTATCTGGGTGGGTTTTTATGAGCTGCAACACTCAAAGATGAGTGCTGAGGGTTGGGGGTGCTCCTGATGAAGAGGGAGCAAGAATGCAAGAGGATTGTGATGGAGTAGACTGCTGTCAGCCTACAGAAGGATGAATGATGACTTAATTCAATGTTCTGAGCTGTACTGAGCTCAGGGAGGACTTGGAGTGAAGCTTGACTGATGATAGAGGATGATAAGCAAAGTAGATGATAGTTAGACCCTTAATAAAGTCTCAACTATCAAAGCTGATGAATGATTTACTGAGTGATGATGAAAATGTGAGCAAGAGGGGCTCTCTGATGTCTTCTTCTTTTTCAGCTATCTAAGTACAGTGATTTATATATGGTACAAGGGTGTTGCCTATGGAAAATGAAGTGCAAACACTTGGTAAGTGATTGGTAACTGGTAAGTAAGGAATGTAAGCAGTAGGTAATCATCTTAGAAAGAATTGGTGAGCATTTGTAAGGATAAGTAAGCCAAAAAGCAAAGATTCAGTAAGCAAAGTCAAAAGATCAGTAAGTATTGGCAATAGATGAGTCAAGGAGAGTCAGAATTTCAAAGTATGAGTCAAGTAATGTCAGAAACTGGGTAAGTGTACTGGAATCACATTAGGGAGGGGCTGTGCATGTCACATCTCAAAGAGATTGCTTCTAGGCCAAGGTGGGATGACAGAGAGGCAGCACTGATCTGATGCTGATATAGTACATCCAAAAGTGGACAGGGTGAGTCAGATGTCAACAGGGGTCAAGCTTTGGGGGTCTGTGGGGTGACAGGAGCATAGGGGATTGCAACTTTCCCCCCCAACTGTCCTCTCAGTGAAGCAAATAAAAACTTCATGAATGAGGCTCTGTTGGAAGAGAGGATGAAGGGGGAGTGTCTTCTGCTGTATCTTGCAACAAGGAGGCAAGATGTGCATCATACTCATCATGGATGTGATCAGGGAGAGTGGAGAACAGTAGATTATACTGTAGCTGTTGCAATCTTGGAAGAATGATGGATAAGACTGGTATGAAGACATTGCAGGGAGCAGGGAGGAAGGATCCATATGCTTCTTGGACTGGAGAGACTGAAATGACAATGTGAGACCTTTCTAACCAAATGACAGACCTGAGGCAACCAAAGAACATCCTCCTAGAGGTCATACTGACAAAAAGAATGCACTGTCCAAGCTGGATGGGCTGAGAGGGGGCAGACAAGGGTGGGATGTACCAGGATGCTTCAGGATGGAATCTGGTAGGAACTCCTGGTAGATATATGTAGTCATGGTCCCTAGCAAAGGGGACAAGCAAAATGATTGATGTGGAGGCAGCCATATCAGAAGAATTAGTGAAATGAGCATCTTTTGGAGGGAGTGCTGTAGAAATGTGTGGAGTGGTCATGAAGGCAGCTTTGAGGTTGTTGAATGACCAGTAGCACTCCTCAGAGAAGATCCAAGGGGCACCCTTGCAGGTGAGCCAGGTCAGTGGTATGATGGTGTCTGAGTAATTAAAGATGAACTGGCAATAAAAATTGGTGAAGCCAAGGAAGGACTGTATGTACTTGACCTTGTGAGGCTTGGGCCAGTCACAAACAGTCTGGACTTTTTCCTTCAACATTGTAAGGCTGGCTGGGGAGAGGTGGAATCTGAGGTACTCCACTGAGTCTAATGGAACTTACACTTCTCTGGCTTTGCATAAAGGCTGTGAAGCCAAAGCTGGTGGAGTACTTCTCAGACATGCTGCTTGTGAGACTCCTTATCTCTGGAGTAGATCAGAATGTCATCTAGGTAGACAACTATGCATATGTCTAGCATATCAGCAAAGTGTCAAGTCCAGGCCTACTCTGACCAGCTCCAATGCTGGACAAGGTCTGGGGAGAGGTTCAGAAGCAAGTCCGACAGAAAGAGCAGGACTCTGACTGGTGGAGTGTTGGTAAGAACAAAGTCTGCTGAGGTAAGGGTGGAGTGAAGTGAGGGTGTTGGGTTTAGCTTGTGTGCTACCTCCTTGCATGATCTCAGCCCTTGTATTTCAGAGGGGGAGTACAGATGGACAGTCAGAGGTAACTCCAACAGGCAGAAGATGGAGACAGAGGGAGTAGGAACTAAGTTGATATTCATACTGAGGAATAGCAGAGTATGATACGTGCTTTTATACTACTATGGAGGTACAGTAACCAGAATTGGACCTGACATATAGAGACCCAGAAATTTTCAAGTAAAACTTCCTAGATGATGAATGAAGGGTAGATGGAGGACATACAAACAGGTAACATAGAACATCCAGAAAAGGAAACAGTCCAGGCACTGGACCATGTGGTGCATGCACTGCAGAGTACCTGACTGCAAGCTGTCAGGGAGGAGTTCAAAGGTAGTCACATGACCCCTCAGAGAACAGTCTGTTCAGTCTGGTAGGAGAGCAGTACAAGTCCAACAGCAGTTGGAGTGGAGACAACTCATAAATGTCAGGGGGTGGGCAGAGTTGGTGCAGAGTGAGTGAAGGACCAGTGGAAAGGGGTGTGGAGTGAGTGAGGACTTAGGATGAATGCACGATCATGACACAAAGATTGTGTTGATGAAGCACTGGAAAGTGGTGAGGCTGAGGGGCATTACCAGCCACTCATAGGACCTATACCAAGTCTGAAATGTGGTCTTCCATTCATCACCCAAGGCAATCTGGACAAGATGGTAGGCATGCCAGAGATCAATTTTGGTATAGATCTTGGTGTGGCTCAGTGAGTCTAAGAGGTCAGAGATGAGCAGCAGTGGGTAGCAGTCCTTCTTAGTGATTTTGTTCAAGCCCCAGAAGTCTATGCAAAGCCAGAGGGAGCCATCCTTCTTCTTGACAAAGAGGACTGGCACAGCATAGGGGGAGGAGGTTGGATGAATGAATCTGGTGGTGAGGTTCTCATTGATGAAAGTCCAGAGAGCTTGAAGCTCAACTGGGGACAGTGAGTAGATGGTGCTGAGAGGTGGGGTTGTTCCTTCTTCAAGCTCTATTTTCAGGTCATACTCCTGGTGAGGCAGGAGTGTTGAGGCCTTGGCCTTGCTGAACACATCAGCAAAGTCATGGTACTCCTCTGGGACATTGGGTAAGTCCAGAGGGGATGAGGCTGAGGCCAATCAAGCCTGTGCTGAGTCTGAGGGGTGGAGCTGGAGTTGGAACTGGGTGGACCCTTCAAGTTTGCAGGCATGTACAAAGGTGACTGCATTGATTAGGGATATGTGAGGGGCCTTCAGGGGGGTGTGAGCTGGGGAGTTGGTGACTAGTACAGATGGCACAAGGCTGGGTTGGTTGCCAGAACCAGGGTCAGGAAGACTGGTGGGGACTAGGCTTACAGGGGGTGTCAATGGGGTTGGCATTCCTTGTGTAGGAGTCTGGAAAGTTAGACTGCTCAATACCCAATCAATCAACAGATTGTAGCAGGTGAGCCAGTCATGTCCAAGGACTATCTTACACTCGGAATCCAACAGGGCTAAAAACAGGGTTACTGGGGTGACATCACTGGATGCAAAGCAGATTGAGACATCTACTGCTTGGGTAATGGTGAAGGTGGACATTCCATCAAAGAGCTGGAGTCAGATTGGGGAGACTGAGTACAGGGTAAAAGGATGTTGATTAACAAACTGGTTATCTATGAAACAATGTGTGGAACTGGAGTCCAATAAAGTACAAAGCTGAGGTAATTCATAGTTTTCTAATGTGACATAGGGGGTCAATGAGTTTGGACTGGAAAGAGTGGATGTGTTGAGACAACCCTCCAAGTTTGCACAACCAGAGTCAATGCAGCTCCCAGAATGTGCAGAGTCCTGGGAGCTGCTACCTATTTTTTTGTCTGGGGGTAGAACCTGAGCCCAAGGCCAATGCAGCCTTAGTGGTGGCTGCAGCATGAGCCTTGGCCTTACCAGCTTTCTTGGGGCACTTCTCAATGA